ACTGAGTCTCACTCTTTCACCCAGGCTAGAGTGCAGTAGAGTGATCTCAGCTCACTGCAACTTCTGCCTCCCAGGTTCAAGTGATTCTTGTGCCTCAGCCTCCCTAGTAGCTGGCATTACAGATGTGCACCATCACGCCTGACTAATTTTTGTATTTTTAGTAGAGATGGGTTTCACCATGTTGGCCAGGCTGATCTTGAGTGCCTGACCTCAAGTGATCCACCTGCCTTGTCCTCCCAAAGTGCTGGAATTACAGGCATGAGCCACCGAGCCCAGCCTATTTATTAAAGTACTTTTTCTATTCTCTCCATCTTTTGGAAAATACAACTATATGTACAATAACCTGCCTGAAGTTGTCCTGTCGCTCACTGATACTCTGATCATTTTCTTCAGTTTTCCCCCCATGCATTTCATTTTTGGAAAACCTCTATTGGTATGCTTTTAAGTTCACTAACTTTCTGTAATGTCTAATCTGCTGATAAACCTATCTAGTATATTTTTCATCTCATGCATTGTACTTTTCATCCCTAGAAGTTTTATCTGGATCTTTTTGTTGCTGTTTTTTGTTTGTTTGTTGCTGTTGTTGTTGAGACAGGATCTCACTATGTAGCTCAGGCTGGTCTTGAACTCCTCGCCTCAAGTGATCCTCCTACTTTGGCCTTTCAAAGCACCGAGATTACAGGTGTGAGCCATCATGCCTGGGCCTTAGTTATTTTTCAAACATTTTCTTCTGTCTCAACATGTCTACTCTTTCCTCTAGCTTCCTTAACTTATGAACTACAGGCATAATAACTTTTAATATCCTGGTTTAATAATTATAGTGCCTTGGTCATTTTGGGGGCAGTTTTGGTTAACTTTCCTTATTATTATTGGTTAAATTTTCTTATTTCTTTGCATACCTGGTGATTACTGGTTAAATTTTCCTATTTCTTTGTATGTCTGGTGATTTTTGATTGAATGCAAGACTGTGAATTTTAACTATGTTGAGTGCTAGATATTTTTGATTTGCCATAAATATTCTTTTTTTTAAAGTACAGCTGCACAGATTTCCCAAAAATATTCTTCATTTTTTTTCCTGGGATTTAGTTAAGTTACTTGGACACAGCTGGATCCTTTCACTTCTTGCCTCTACAGGACCACAGCAGCATCTACTGTAGGGCCAATTTTGTTTCAGTACTGATACAAAACCTCTCCAAATACTCAACTCTATGCTCTTCAAACTATGGGATTTCTTTTCCCCCTCTGGCTGATGCTAAAGGGAACGAACACTCCTAGGACTGTATGACCTCTAGGGATTGATTCCCTAATTCTTTCAGGTATTTCTTTACCCATTGTTCCTTTGGGTAGTTTTCTCTCAGGCATATAGTGTTTACCATCAGCTGAAGACTCAAGGGGACCTCTGTGGACTTGACCCTTTGCAGCTTTCTTCCCTCTAGTACTCTAACCTATGAACTCCAACTGCTCTCCAACCTATGAATGCCCGTCTCCCCTCCTCAATTCAGGGAGACAGCTGGGCTGTTTGTTTTCTGTTTCTCAGGGGCCACTGTCCTTTGCCTGATGTTCAATATCTTGGAAACTTGTTTCATCTATTTTCTTTTCAATTGTTTCAGGTGGGGGAGTAAGTCTGTTTCCTGTTACACTGTCTTGTCCAAAAGTGATTTTTTTCAAACAGTTGTTTTCTGCCCCATTCTTTAACTCCTCATTTCTGCAACTCTAATTATCCATTTGTGGAGTTTTTTGATATTGTCTCATAGGTTACTATGACTCGGTTCATTATTTTCTAATCTTGCGTCTTCCTTTATTTTTCAGATTGGGTAATTTCTAATGATCTGTCTTCAAGTTCATTGACTATTTTTATGTCATCTCTAATCTGCGGCTAACCCACTGAAGTTTGTTTATTTTTTAAATTTAAGAACTGTATTTTCCACTTGGTTTTTTACAATTTCTGTTCTGTGCTAAGATTTTCTATCCATTAATTATGAGCATATTTTAAGCATAGCTATCATAACTGTTGTAAAATCCTTGTCTTCTTTTTTTATTTCAGATTTTCATATCTAAGATAATTTTCTTTCTTTGTTTTTCTTATTTTACTTTAAGTTCCAGGACACAAGTACAGAAGGCATAGGTTTATTACATAGGTATACGTGTGCCATGTTGGTTTGCTGCACCTATCAACCCCTCATCTATGTTTTAAGCCCTGCATGCATTAGTTATTTGTCCTAATGCTGTTTCTCCCCTCACACTCCACCCCCCGAAAGGCCCTGATGTGTGTTGTTCCCCTCCCTGGGTCCATGTGTTCTCATTTTTCAACTCCCACTAATGAGTGAGGACATGTGGTGTTTGGTTTTCTGGTTCCTGTTTTAGTTTGCTGAGGATGATGGCTTCCAGCTTCATCTATGTCTCTGCAAAAGACAAGATCTCATTCATTTTTATGGCTGCATAGTATTCCATGGTGTATATGTACCATATTTTCTTTGTCTAGTCTATCATTGATAGGCATTTGGGTTGGTTACATATCTTTGCTATTGTAAATAGTGCTGCAATAAACATACATGTGCATGTGTCTTTATAGTAGAATGATTTGTGTTCCTTTGGGTATATACTCAGAAATGGGATTGCTGGGTCAAATGGTATTTCTGGTTCTAATATCCTTGAGGAATCGCCACACTATCTTCCACAATGACTGAGATAATTTACATTCCCACTAACAGTGTAAAAGCATTCCTATTTCAACACAGCCTTGCCAGCATCTATTGTTTCTCCACTTTTTAATAATTGCCATTCTGACTGGCGTGAGATGGTATGTCTCTATGGTTTTGATTTGCATTTCTCTAATGATCAGTGATGTTGAGCTTTTTTTCATATGTTTCTTGGCCATGTAAATGTCTTCTTTTGAGAAGTGTCTGTTTATATCCTTTGCCCACTTTTTGATGCTTTTTTTTTTCTTTCTTTTT